GGGTGGGGCTCGCCTTCCTCCTTCCTCCTGGAGCTGTTGCGTATTTTAAATCAGTCATTGATTAAGGTACAATGGCTCCTCTGTGGAGGAGGAGCTGTTCCTTTCCCCTCTGGATGAATGCTATAGTCATTAAGCTATAGTCATGCTCTCTCACTCCCTTTTTGTCAGGCCCAACAGCCTTTTAATTCTCTTCTATCAAGTGGAATAGCTTCAACAGATGGGAGTAAAGGAACCTGCTGTTCATGCAGCCATCCTAAATGGCCCAGAGCCTACTGGTAGGGACATTCTCCTCCAAGGTGAGAGATGTGTGTTTGAATCCCCTCAGCAAGAGCAGGCGACTGAACTGAGGTGTCCCATGTACCATGAACAGCGCGTGCCCCCGGAGGCTGGGGGGGTATGGCAACTGCCCGCAGGTGGCAGCAGTAGGGGTGTGGCGGTGGCAAGCGGGGAGTTCCCACAGGCAGCCATGGTGCGGGGTGGGCAGTGGTCATATCGACCCATTGGTAGATCTCGGAGCCTCTTGGAGTTGATCTGAGGCTGGGGTGGGGGGTCCACATGCATGGATACGTGTGCCCCGGCCCAGCAGGTCAGTCCGTGGGGGAGGGGAGGGGCAGGGGCTAGACTGAGCTCCCACAGTGAGGGACAGTGCTGAAGAGGCAGGAGCAGGGGTAAGTTGAGTGGGGCCCCGGCTGGGTGGGACTTACCTGCTGGAGATACTTGCCCCCAGATGTTTTTTTCTCCCTCTGCCTCCATTTGTTCCCCCACCTTCCCTTCACACAGACTTACCTGCTGGGCGGGGGAGGAGGGGGGTGGCAGCAGTGCACGGTAGATCTTGGGTTGCTTTTAAATGCCAAAGGTGAACTCCAACTTAAAAAGGGTGGAGACCACTGGTGTAAGATATGGGGAATGTCAGCATTTGAAGGATAGCTGTACTTCCCATTGTGTAGTGTGCTGAGACAAATGTAGTAAGCTTTCTTTCTCAGAGCACACCCACTAGACTGAGCCCCTCAGGAGAAAGAGGCAAAGGAATGTGTAGTTTGTGGATCCTGCTGGGGCTTTGGTGCTGAATTACTCAGTCCTGTCAAGATTTAGGTGTGTCTGGGCATACCTAAAAACAGAGTTTTAAAAAAAGTTTGTACTTCAGGGCCAGGTACAGACTTTTTCCAATATAAGTGACTGAAAACCAGTCAATGCCCATAAGAGAACAGAAGTTTGGTGCACACAGACTGATTAAAAAATGGCGACACCCGGTTTAAGATTCCCACCCCCACCACCAAAGGGTGAATGTGTGTTCTGCCCACTACCAATCTAAACTAAATTGCTGACAGAAAACTGCATAACTTAAATCGATTCTGCTTCAAGGTTTTTGAATGTCTGTATCTAGCACAGAACTTCAGGTACTTCTAGAGTTAAAAACCAGCCAGGATGGATTTGAGGATCTGTTTTGGAAATAAGATACCTTGGGACAGGTTTTTTCAGCCTGTGGTCCGTGGACCCCTGGGGGTCTGCAGACTATGGCTAAGGGGTCTGCAAAAGATGGCTATGATCAATCAAAAGTATGTGAATAACCACACTTACAAACCCATGCCTCCATTTGGAAGTTTTAAGGGTCTGCAAATGAAAAAGGGTTGAAAACCACTGCCTTAGGATTTTACCAATTCATTTAATGAATCTGAGCTTTAATCACATTGCTGCCTTGTTTTTGCCTAACTTCAGTCACACTAGTAAGGTGCAAAATTTATTTTACAGGTTTTCCTGATCCCTAAATACAGTCACTGATCTTGAATTTAACCTAGGCAATTTTTTTTCAGATGCAACTTCTTATACAGACCAAACATTTTTCACAGATTTGCATTTGTGCATGCACACACATAGTCAATGGATTCAGTCTTTTACAGATTCAATGTTTCCTTCTATTTACATTGAAAGGAAATGAGATGATGTTAAGCAACATTAAATCAGTCTATAGGCAAACCTGAGTCTCCCATCTGGAGATGAATCAATAATCAGAGAACACATTAGCAAGGACGGCAAAACTGAAACACATACACACATTAGAACGAACTTGTGGTTGTATTTTATTCAGTCAATGTAAATCTACCTTAAAAACACAAAATAGAAAATCAAAATCTTTTTAACCCAATACATTAGATTAGAAGAAGCTGCAAGCCTGGAGCTCAAGCACAACCAAAGGTCGCAGCATCAACTGAGTTTTTCAGAGGCCAAAGCAATACACTGGAACAAAGTAGTATCTGTGTGAAAATATACTCCTTGCACCATTAGGAAAACCTTCAGGTGCAATGTTTTATAGCTGTCGGTTACAAGAAGAAACATGGGTTATACAGTTTACATTTGTTGCATTGCTTACATAGGCCCCGGATTAATATAAAAAACAAGCAAGATTTAAGCCCTTGCTTCTCAACCCCTACCAACAGACAATTTACATGTTGATAAAGCTAGCTTCATTTAAATGAGCCTTAGACAAGAATTAACTTTACATACTATTAACAGCTTTGGAACTACAAACATTAGAGTCAGGATTACATAGGTCATGCTAGTATTTCCTTTTACCTGTTGCAGTTATTGCAATATGGCTTGCCATACATAGGTATGCAGTTTGTACAAACTGAAACCAATTTCACATTTGCATGGTGTTATAACGAGCACAATTAATGCAAGCAACCTAGCCTCTGAGAACCAACAGCTGTTATCAGAATTATCCAAAGACAAGGGAAAAAGCTGCCACTAATCATGGACAAAGATGGTCAGGATCATTTGAAGTCAATTTTAAATGTATATACGTTTGCTGTGAGGTACGAAAAGTCTTTATATTTGGCCACTCTTGTGAGAACTCTAGTTATCATGCCTCTGCTAATATAGATCATGGACCAGTCATGCCACTGACTGCCAGTTTTTTTGTACAGAATAGCTGACCTTTTTCATAAGTAAAAACACTTGTCTTTTCAAGAGTCTTTCCAGAATCTAGTCTATTAATGTACCTACCTCTCTCTAAAATCTGCATATTATGTATATATGTGTATGTGTCCCTGGTGTGGTAGTAGGTCAAAGTCCTTATAATGGAGAGTAGATATGCATTTGTTTAAAGTCCAGTATCAGATATTCTCGAAGAAACTTTTATATGGAGCCCCTAATCTCACATGCATGATTGAACTCTGTTAACTATGATGGAATTCATCAAAAGAATTGAAAGATTCTGAGTATTTAGTTGCTCTTTAGAGTTAGAATAAAGGTATATAAAATTAGATCTTTTTTACTGCAACATCACATGTCTGTGGTACAAGTTACAAAATAAAGACTGGCTCCTATCTCAGAACAAACAGCCTTTCATGTTTAGGTTTCAAGTGATATTAAACCATGGTTAAAACCTTCAGCAGGAAGGAAAAGGCATCATTTTTTTTTCAGAGAAAAGCATGCAGATAAAATTAATTAATTCTACTAGCTCATGGGTTCAATAATTTAAGCTCTGTTCCATGGAGAAGAGCAGGGAGTCATGAAGTGAGATATGGAAAAATGACAAAAATTATAATTTTTGCTTTTTAAAGTACAAAGTCTACCTCCCTCAAAATGTTCAGAGAACAACTACGACCACTTAGATGGAGACTACTGCGGAAACTGATTAATTTTTGTTACTAACTCCTGATGACAAATACTGTCCTGCTCCAATACTTTGTAGCAATTGTTTGAGCACTTTCCATAGTAATCTGCATAAACCAAGAATCTATTTTTAGGTTCTTCCCTTGGCAATAGAATGGTTGCATAAAAAACTTTCCAGCTCAAGGCATCTTATATTAGCAAAGGTTGTACAAGATGTGGTTTTACACAAATTTTAGGAGACACCCACCATGTCCACTTGCCAGCGGTGAATTAGTTTGTTGGCTAATAGGTTTTTTCTGTGTAATAAGATAAAAGTTACAGAAACCCACCACCAGATGGTGCAATTGCACCAGTGCAATGAGTCAAATTTTGCTTGCTCACAGTGCAGCCCCTGGAAGAGGCAAGCACCTGGCATAACAAGAACATTTGGTACACTGAAACAGCTCATTTTAAAATAAATTACTATACAGATAGGACAGTGAAGCTACTGGTTAACATCTTGCTCAACCTGAATGGCGTGAAGTTTACAAAGTGCAAAGTATAACATTTTAGAAATCAGAACAAAAAGTGTATGGACTTGCCTACTATGCATATTCAGTGCCTAGAAGGTCAAGTACAGAATGTTTTCAACAGTTAATTATTGTTCAGTTATTTAATATTTCATGCCAGGCCTGTTTGGTGACTGTGCTGATCTATACTTGTAACTTTATACAGTAAAAGCTCTGTTATCCGGCATCCCCCGGGAACGCGGGATCCCGGATAACAAAACATGCCAGTTAATTGAGCAGCCCTCCCACAGCATTGCCAACCCTCCCATGGGCCCTGTGGGCCCTGTGCAGCCTGCTATGCCCCCAGGATGTGGGGGCTCAGCAGCTCAGGCTGCTTTGCCCTGGGCTATGCAGGCTCGGAGAAATCAGTAGCGCCACGGCGAGCACTTCCAGTTTCACTTTTCCTTACAAGCTGGCATGCCGGTTAACAGAGCATGCCGGCTCGTAAGGTGCCGGTTACCGGAGAGTTTACTGTACCTGGCAATGAGGAATATTGTGTTGGATGTCTATTAAGTCTTGAAACAAACAGAAGTATAAGCAAAGACTTCATTTAAATCACTCCCCGAAATCACCATTTACTAAATGCACATGAACATTAGGAAACACACTGCTCTGAAAAGAAGTAGGAAAAAAAATATAAAGTGGGCATAATCCAGTATCTACCAAACCCTTTTTGTTACAGAACAAATCTCATTTCACAGCATTTATGTGGTCCAGGACACAGGGTAGCATTAGAATGCAAAAAAATATAGGTAAGTTGATCCTTTTCTTTACAACATTAAAACATTTCAATATTTTGTCTCAGATTTAAGCAGAGCAAATGAGGGCCATTTCAGGGTTGATGAACAGTTTGAAATGTTATGATAAGCATAGAATTGTTATGGACTAGGTGTTCTTAGAACTATTACATTGCAAAAAAGCAAACTTTAAATGTTTTCAATACAATTATAGTGCACTCACTCCTGGTACTTAGAGGAGATCATTCAAAATTAATTTCTGCTTAATAACTTACATCAGTAGGTTTCCAAATAGGAATTTGTACCTTTTGACCACAAATGTTCTTTAATGGAAGCAAGAACAACTACCAATGTATTGCCTTAAATATCCATTCTCACATCCTTTAAATGTATGTCACCATTACCACTAGAAGACTGCTCACACAGATATACCTAACCTAGCTATAAAATTAGCAAGCTCAGGAACGTATAGCAGGATAGACACAGCAGCCTAAGAATTCACCCAGGGTATGGAGTGCATTTTGTGATCTTTGAGCCACTTGCTGCCATGGCAAGCCTGTTAACAATGCCTGCGTTTGTTAGTATAAAGCCAACTCAGGTATGTCTGCATTAGCTCCAGTCACACCTTTTGGCTACAGCGTGAGCATATATTAAGTGGAAACTCACAAAGATGATTTGTGGCCTGCCATAGTTCACTCACAGTGCTTCACCTTGGTCACATGCACTTAGCGTCTCATACGTTGTGTAATGCAAGTGTACATCATATTGTATTTAACGCTAAGGTAGAGAAAAATATGTTAAAGTCAAACTAAGTTTTAAGATATACATATAAATATGCAAAGAATTACACTTCAGTTTTGGAAGCTTGTTAGAAGAGGAAAATCTGGAACAGAAACTAGGCATTACCAGCTTCCTTTTCAGGTTAGGCTATGGAAGTCAGTCAGACAGAAATTGTCACAATTTTTGTATTATTTTCCCGAGCACAAAGAGAAGACTTGAGAAGGGTTAAGTGTAACATCCGAGAGTAAAAGGTGGCGGCTCAAGCTCCTGATCCTGTCTCAGGATTGTCAGTTGCTCTCTCGAATGACATCAGAGATTGACGGTCTATTCTCCCAGTTCAAAAACATTGGTCTACAAGTTCAGAAAGCAGGTTTTACTTTTGGCTAATGTCATCTTCACAGTTTAGTCTCTCCAAATGCAATGCAACTATGTAAAACTACAGCTGAAATAAAAGAACAAAAATGTTAATAAAGCCTTATTAACTTCAACTTACTTTCTTGAACTTTTCTTAAACAATGGAAATTTTGGGGCAGGTTTTCTGGAGAAGTGTTAAGGAGGCACCTCATCAATTCAGTTAACAAGCAATATACATGACCAGGGGCCTGTACCTGTTATATCCCTCAACTCAGAACACACTTATATTAGTTCAGAAAATTTGCTTGAAATCTCAAAATGTTGAGAAAATGACAGCTGTTGCAGGTTGTATCACACAGCAACACTCACATCCAGAGACAACCCTAGCAGAGTGTGGGGCTCAGGGGAAATCAGCCTGTGTGGGGCCTGCAGTGGTGGCCGGCAGTGGTGGCGGGGGGGCAGGGGGTGGCAAGTGGCCAGATGCAAAGCTAGCGGTGACATGGAATCACTAGCACTAGGTGGGCCCTGCAGGAGGGGCCACGGCTGCTCCGCCCAGCTCCACGGGGACCCAGGGCAGTCACCTCGATTCACACTTCCCTAGGGACGGCCCTGCTCACATCCCATTAGGATTCTCAATAAAATTTGTTTTAAAATCTTGCAGATATATATCTATGTTTTAAGCATACATTATTTTTCAAGAACACAAGTTAAAAAAAATAAAACAATATAAGTTTAGGAATTTTCAGATATGGAATGATCTGCTGCACATCCAAGATTCACAGAAAACAAGCATCCACATGCCATAGAACATGAAAACACACTCTGTATAGCATATATAAGCCCAATAGTAGGGAAAGTTTTCCTTCCTCTGTTCTCAGTTTAGCTTTTGGCAACAAAAACCCAAAACCAAAACAAAGTTAGAAGAATTTTCCAAGTGTGGTCACCACCACTCTTTTCATCTTATTTTCATTTTTAAAATAGCTTGATAAACTTCAGTGTTACTAAACATCCAATGCTGATAAACATTCTCTTTTCTTCACTGATAATCTAACCTTGTGGTGGTTTTATGCTCTGAAGTCTGTGACAGCATGGAAAGAAATTTTACTAGAATGGCTAGAAATTTTTAATCAATAAAACAAGTTTGAATCTCCAGAAGTCATTTGACAGCTTATTTTAAGCTCTCCTATGGAGAGGAATCATTACTATTTGAAATCTAAATAATCTCAAATGTAAAGTATCAACTTTGTTTTGTATCTAAGATCTGGACTTGGAATTTTTTAAGCTCTCCCTTTTCTTTCATTCCTATGAAGATGGCAAAAAATAAAAGAAAAAGGCAACAAAACAACCAACTACTGAACATCACATTTTGGAAATGTCCAAGTGACTTAATGTTTGGTGGAAAAAATCTCCATTTCCACAGAACTAACTAACACATTTCTTTGTTTGTAGGCTTGTTAGAATGGACAAAAGAAAAAAAATATACAGCTAACAAGTCTAGGATTCCCAAGACTGCATTTCAGTTTCCCTAGTTTGTTGTCTCAATTGTCCAAAAGACTAGACAGATACTCAGGAATATAGCTGGATTATTTAAGAACATTGTCAAAGCATTATTTAGAATGTAAATGTCAATTACTTTTTTCCCTCCCACATTTTATAACAGCCTTAACAAAATCCCATATCTGGAGTGCTTTCTTACACATGATATATTTTCCCCTCATAAATTTGCACTGATGTATTCTATTCAGTTTGCTTACAAAAGCCAAACAGCTGGCACTGACTGTAGCTTTATGCAGAAAGTGGTTGCATAGCTTTTAGACTTATTCCTGCACTGAGGTACAGATATTGATGTGCCCTGCGCACAGATCTGGGGGGCATGGGTCCCACGTGCCCCCTCTGGGACTGTGTGCAGCAGCAAGGAGCCATCCCCAACCCTCCTGCCTAAGCCCGCAGGGGGCAGCCTGACCCTGTCCTCCCCACGGGCTCTGCCCTCCAGATGTGCTGCCCATGGTGGAAGTGGGGGGAAAAGAAAGCTGGGCTTCATGCTCTGCTATGCTGTAGCAGCACCACCTCCCGCAGGTGGCAGCCAGGGCTCAGGGGCTGCTGCTGGGGGTGGGGGGCTGTGGACCCGGGTCCCCAACCTAGTTAGCCCTGGCAGCTGGGGGCCCCCTCCAGCAGGGCTAGGGGTGGGCAGGATGCTGTGGGTGGGGGGCAAGAGGCATCAGCAGGGCTGGGGGGAGTGTGGGGGAAGTGAGGGGTACCAGCAGGGCCAAGGAGCTGTGAGTGGGGACTGGAGGCACCAGCAGGGCTGGGGGCTGTGGCTTGGGAGTCAGGGGCCTGGATCTGTGCTCTGTGAGCTAAGGGAACAAGGGGAGCTCTGCTTTTCCATGATAAAAAACCCAAAATCAAATGGCAAAATTTATAGGTATTTATAATTTATTTTATTGTAGTGGTTGAGGCACCAGTAGGCTTCCAAAATGCTTTAAAAGTGTAAATATATCAATAAAACATTGTGTTCAATTGATACCTCATTCATATATATATATATATATATAGTGGTTTTTCATTTTAATTACGGATTTGGGGGGGTTTAAAATCAGAGAATTTACAATTTTTTATTTAGAGAAAACCAGGATTCCTGGTGCTCAGGAACTCATCATTCTGACATCCCAGCCTGAACAAAATGACACTCAGCATCCAACAGTTGCAGCAGCTGAATTTTCTGTGTGGCCTCCTATCCAGGAATTAAACAGATGACACTCAAGCTGCCTAGCTTGCAAGATGATGAAGTGATTTGATGACATACTATTTGTTATCCCTGATTTGTTGCTAAAATGGCTCCTATTTGATTGAGGGTTAAAGGAAGATACAACAAGAGGTGGGACCATCCTGGAGGAGGAGGAGTAGAAGAGTGTTGCTCCCCCAACACAGGGAGAAGATAGACAGCATCTCACTGTTTTTAACAAAGAATAGTGCTGCATGCACGTAACAAGTGGTCTTATTTTCAAAGATGCTGAGTGTCCACAGCTCTCTCTGTGGCCTTGATGCAGGACAGAAGGGGAAAAATAATACAGTAGGTAAATGGTATATAGTTACCCACAAAGTAGACTAGTACACCTGTGTCAGTTAACTTCTTTACATCTCATTCAAACAATATGCTTCTACCAAATAAAAATAGTACAGTGACTTTCTAAAAGGCTGAACTCTCCTAACTTCCCTTGTGCCAATGGAGGCTGTAAGTACTGGGCAACTTTGGGGGGGGAAGAGGGAGGAACCATCCAGGTTACTTATTCTGGATGCATAGACATGGATTTAAATAATCTAAAGTAGGCAAGAAGAAGTTTGAAAAAGTTGTTCCTAATCTGTTTAATGAGATTTTTGGTGCTAGCAAAAGACACAACAGCATCACATCACAATAACACACTGCAGTGACAGAAGTAAATTATTCTGAAAATGCTACTTACATTAGGCCTCAGTCAGTCAAAGCCAATGAGGTCTGACTTTGATTCATTTCAGGGTAATGAGATGTGGGGTCCTGACTATTTACATCTTCTTCCATGTGCATCATCACATCTTCCACTGACTGGCTATGATGTTCTTCCTTCCTTTCTACGTGCATTTGCTGGCTTATACACTGGATTTCCACTGTCTGTTTAACTTCTGTTTTCTTCAGCTCTGATTGGTCTGTATCAACAGACTTTTTGGTGAAGTCTTCTGAAACACTAATTTCTACTCTTGGCTTTTGATAGCCTGAACTTTCACTTAAAACCTCTTCAGGGATGGCTGCAATTTCTACTGAATCCTGACGGCCTCTCTCTTTAGATGTACCAGACACTGCTGATACATCTTTCGTTTGCTCTAGAGGAGCTTTTTCCTTTGTAGATGGTTGCTGGATCTCCTGTTCTTTACTCACTCCTGTCTCTTCACCTTCTGTGAGTTGCTGATCGGCCAGAACACATTTCTGTATTTCAGATATATTTATACCTTCTTGACTTCTGTCTGTTGACTCTATCTGCTGCTGTGATTCAGATATGATGCTTACAGCCATTGGCTTTTCTGTCCTCTCAAGTTTGTCAACAGCGGTCTGGACGATCTTTAATACAATTTTTGTACTTTGGGATTCTATAGACTGACCATCAACTTTTTCACTTTCCACGTGGGTTATAGAAGGGCTTTTATCTTGTACTATTTCAGAAGGCAGTTTTTCAGGTACTGATGCTACAGCCTGTACAATTTCATCTGTGGTTTCCATTAGCCTTACCATTTCAGAAATTACCTGCTCTTCAACTGAGGCAGCTGTTACCGGCATAGATGCTTTTTGCGCTTCAGAGCTTTCAACTTCAGGAATGGCTGAGCCCATATCTTCCTGGGGCTCCACTACTTCTTGCTGCACTGAATAAACTGTATCACCATGTGCAATTTCCAATTTTCCAGAATCATGGAAATCTTTTCCCATTTTCAACATTTGCTCAGATTCGATTTTCTTAGTCTCACAGTCCTTTGAACTCACTGTTGTATGTAAAAGCATTTGTTTGGCTTCCACATGCTCTTCTCTCTTTCCATGCACTGGCACTTCTTTAGGAGATATGTCTCTCTGAACAGAGGCCTCAGTTACAACTGCTTCACTGCATTTTGATCCTAAACTACTGTCTCTCTCTCTATCCACAGGGACTTCAGGTACCTCACTCTGCACAGAATCCCCAGCTGTGATTCCTTCTGTGCATTTTGATTCTAAGGTAGACACATCGTCTTCCTCCTTGCTCTGCAAGACAGCCTCAGTTTCTATTTTTTCTGGGCATTTTGTTTCTAAAGGAGGCATGGCGTTATCCGCCTCCGTCTGCATAGTGGCCTCAGTTGCAATTGTTTCTGAATATTTTGATTCTGAGGTAGGAACAGAATCTTCCACCTCACTCTGCATTGCAGTCTCAGCTCTTTCAGTCTGCATGGGGATGTCCATTACAATTGTTTTGGTATGTTCTGTTTCCACAGTAAGGTAAGCATCTTCCACCTCACTCTGCACAGGGACTTCAGGGACTTCCCTCTGCAGAGAGACGTCTGTTACAACTGCTTCTGTGCGCTCTGATTCTACAGTAAGCACAGTCTCTGCCACCTCTTTCTTCAAAGGATCCTCAGTCACTTCACTCTGCACAGAAGCTTCAGGAGAAGTTTCTGCCATGCATGTTGGTTCCACAGTAGATCTGGCTTCTTCCAATTCACTCTGCTCAGGGACCTCAGTTACTTCACTCTGCATATGGAGCTGTGTTGTAATTACTCCTGTGCTTTTTGATTCTGCAGTACAAAAAGAATCTTTCTCCTCTTTCTCCAGAGGAGCCTCCATCACTTCACCCTGCACAACAGCCTCCACTACAGTTTCCTCTCTTCCTTTTGACTCCAAGGTGGGTGTCACATCTTCTCTCCCACCCTGAACAGCAACCGCAGTTATATCACTTAGCAAAGGGACTGCTGATACAGGTACATGGCTGCACTCTGGTTCCAAGCTAGTCTTGATGTCTACTACTTGTTTAAGTTCCTCAGACAACTTAACCTTTGCTTCATCCACTTTCAGATCACCTTCATCTGCAGTTTCACCTGTAGGCAGTTCTGTTAAATTCAGTTTTCCTTCTTCCTTTGCAATATGTTGTTTTACTGCAGTAACATACTCAGCTTCCACCTCAAGCTCTGCCTTGGGAGTTATTGTGACACTACTATAAAATTCTCTTTCTCTGGAGTCTGATGTCTCTGCAGTACTCACCTCTTCAGACATTTCTTCATGTCTTTCTACAGTTGCATGTTCAGGTGCTTGCCTTTGACTTTCATCAGTCAGTATATCAAGACTTGTGGTTTCTCCTGTATGTTCCTTCATCACAGTGCATGTTTCACTTATCTCAGTCACTTCCTTCAGAGCATTTTCTTCCATTTCATTTTTTTCTTGAACGGTTTCTGCTCTTTCCAGTTGGATGTCACCTCCTCCAAATTCCTGTTCCTTTACTGACTGTTCAGCAAACACAGTTATCTGGGATGTGACTGTTATCTCCTCCTCTTCATCTTTTATTTCTAATTCAATTTCCTGTGCAGTCTGAGTGACTACTTCTATCACAGTTTCTTCACCAATCACCTGAGCTTCATCTGACAGCTTAACTCTTTCTGCAACTTCCTCAAGAATTTCTCGTGTGTGTTTGTTTAATTCTTCCAAATTTTGCTCAGTGCCATCTACCTCCTGCACAGGTGTAACTTCTTCGGTAGTATCTGGAGTTTCAGGTAACTGTGAGACTGCTGACACCATCTCGGTTGTCTCCTCAGCAAGAGACACTTCTGTTGCTTCTTCAGCACAGGAAACTTCTGTGGCTTCTTCCCGAGCTGTAACAGCTTCTGAAGTCAACTCCAACTCACTCATTAAAGTATCATCACTTGTGTCCTTTCTCATCTCAGGCAAAGTTTTAGTAACCACTACTGTTTCCTCTACAATTACTTCTGCTTCGGATATCTGCTCAGTTGGTTTTTCTTCGTCTTTCACCTGTTCAATAGTTTCTGTCACCGCAGCAGATATCCAGGATGGTGATCTTTCTTCAATACTGGTAACTGCTCTTTCCCCCTCCACAACTGTCACAGTAACTGCATGAACAAGCCCTTCATTGGATTGGTCAGTTTCTAAGGCATCTTGTAATTTTTCAGCTCTATCCTCCTCTAAAGTTCCCTCCTGTGCTGCGTCAGCTTGGACTGCCATTTGGGCTTCAATTTTTTCTCGTTCAGCTGCTTCGTATTCCGACAGAGGGACAACGGCTGGCACATCAGAGTCTTCCTCCACAGTTTCTGCCAATGTTTCTCCAGCCTCATCGGCACGAGCTTGCTCTAGTTTTCCATCTGACTTTTTCTTCCTTCGGCCAGGCATTAATTTTCTAAATGAGACCCAAGACTCCTCTTTTCCAGGCTCCCCATCAGAAGTAGAATGTTCTATGCTAGCAGCAGTGACAGGTTCCTCGGTTTTATCCTCCATTTTAGTTTTGGACTTTCTTCTCGGAGTGACTAATCTTTTAAATGACTCCCAGGTTGAGACACCTTCACCTTCTGACGGACTTCCAGTTTGTTCCGGTGAGGAACTTCCTTGCCCATGATCGCTTTCCTGTGAACTGGTAAGCATGGTGTCTGCTGGTGTGTCTTTGTTTTCTCCACCTTCTTCTATTTTTTGGCCTTCTTGAGCAGGCTTCTGTCCTCCTTCCTCATCAGAAGAGGATGATTTTCTAGCTCTTTTTTTAGATGACCCTACACAAATGAAGGCCTCCCATGATACTGAGGTGTCAACTTTTCGTTTTGGTTCTTCTGTGTTTTTTTCTAACTTCAGGTCCTCACTATTTTCTTTAGCTTCTTCGTGATTTTCGGAAGCTGCGCTTTCGGTTGAAGAAAGGGTGGCAGTCTTTCCTTTATCTATTTCTTCTTCTTTGTCGCTTTCCGAAGGCCTCCTAACACGTTTTTTAGGAGTGACCATCTTTTTAAATGATGCCCACGGAGTAACATTTTCTCTCTTCCGCTCCGAGTCTGAAGGTATTCCTTCTTCAGTTTCGCTTGCCCGGATTGCATTGATGGCTTTTTCAACTGAAGGAATCTCAGTTGACTCTTCAGGGGAAGAGGCAGAGCTCTCTGCTTTTTGCTCTTCCGGACTCTCTGGGGAATCAGACAGATGTTGAATTTGATCTGCTGGTTCTCCCAACTTAGTTTCTTCTCTTTTTCCTTTATGCTTCTTTCCAGAAAGCTTCTTTAAGCCAGTACCTGTAAAAAGTTTCTTTAATGGGCTGCCTTGGACTTTGGCTCTCTCTTGTGATGACAACATTTCAACCTCATTTGTGATACCTTCTGGTGGCTTACATACAGTTACATCTTCAGAGACTAGTTCTGTTTGTTTGATGAGATCATTCTCTGTTTTGCAGACTGTTTCTTTGTCCTTTAGAACTTCATCAGTTGGTTGGACTTTCTTTAGGTCAGCATCTCCTTCAAATGACTGCTCAGGAACTGAGGAGGGCCTCTGTTCAGCTGCATATAAATCAAGGGCTAGTTCTGCCTCATGTGCCTTAATCTCTTTCTCTTCTACAGTACTAACATGAGCTTCTACCTTTGTCTCTACCTTCTCATCAAAAACTTCCATTGCCAATGGAGCTACTGGCTCAGACTTTTCTTGCATTTTTCCTTCAGATTTTTCAGCAAAGACTTCAGTTGACAATGAAGCCTCTAGTTCAGATTTTTCCTCAGCATATATTTCAGTTTTCTCCTCTAGGGTTATTTTATATTCTTTCACTTGTTCTATTTTTTCTTCAAAAGATCCCTCAGGTTCCTTGTTGACACTTACAGTGGTCTCCTGTAGAACTGGCTGTTCAGAAAGAACAGTAACTTCTTTCAATGTTGTTCCTTCTGGGGTCTCTGCAACATCTCTTTCTTGCTCTTGCCTATCTTTCTCACTTCTCTTCTCCTTTTCACTCACTTCTGTGGGGATCTCTGCTACTGTCTGCTCTTGCTCTTCCTTCTCAGTTTTTTCTTTCTCACTTGCTTGTAGTGGGACATCTGTGACATCTTTTTCTTCGTCCCCCTTTTCTTTCTCAGTTTTCTCTCTCTCACTTGTTTCTGTGGGGATCTCTACCACCTCCTTTTCTTCCTCATTTTTCTCTTTCTCACTTGGTTCTACTGAAATTTCTGCCCCGTCCTTTTCCTGCTCTTGTCTTTCTCTCTCAGGAGACAGCTGTTCATCATCCTTAGGCTTCCTGAAACTTGTCTTTTTCCTAAACCCTGCCCAACCTTGTGTAAAGAATTTCCTTAGTGGTGATGAGGTTTCACTAACTAATGCAGTTGGAGACTCTGGTGACTTGCTAGGATCTTTTTTAACTTCTGCCACTTTGCTCCCTTCTGCTTCCTCGCTTGGACTTTCTGCCAGCTTTTCAGGAGGAGACTCATCTTTCCTCTCCTCACTCTCAGTTTTTTCTTCAGTCTTTTCTACAGGATCAGTGACTTCACTTTGTGTTGCTTCTTCCACCTTTTCTAGCTTGACTTCATTATTATCTCCAGCTCCATCTGCAGACACTTGGTCTTCTTTTTTTACAGTCAGTAGCTGAACAGGTTCAGATTTTTCGGTTTTATCTTTTTTAACAGTAAATTTGAATCCAACAAATTTAAAAACCTTTTTAAATCCAACATCATTAGACTGTGGTTCACTGGGTTGTTCCATCTCTTCTGCTTTTTCCTCTGGTAATGGTAACTGTTCTGTAGCATCTTGAGCATCTGTCTGCTCTTCTTTCACACCATCTTTGTCATCTTTATCAGTTGCTTCTGATTGTGTAGCCTCCATATTTTCAGCTATCTCTTCTTTTAGAATCACATTTGTAGGTTCTCTTTGTCCAACTAAAAAATCAAAAAAGAAAAAAAGATAAAATCAAATTAAATTAACTGCATCCTTAATTAACTGCTAGATTTTATATTAAAAAGCTGAAGACAAATATATGTTTCAACTCTTAACACACAATGATCTGCATTTTAAAGAAGTCTTATAAAATACAAATACCATTAGAGAGGCAACTTTTAGGTCTGCTTTAATTAAACCTTTATCATTTTTATTATGAGCCAAGCTTTCTCCTCACTGAAAGAAAGGGGAAAAATCACCTGCAAGACAGAAAGCTGCCTGCAGCAACAGTGAAACTCAATGATTCAGAATATTTGGGCTTGCTCTCGCTCTTTCTGTGCAACTGAAAGTTTAGACTGTACAATAAATGCAATACTTCGATTTTGTGTAAGCATCCATTTTTCACTTCAGGTAGTAATATCCTACCTGGAGGACAGACAGGACAGTATTATTAATTATTTTGAAGCAGTCTCCTTTCCAGCTGGGAGAAAAGCACAGCATCAAGAATGAAAGAAAGATTCAGACGTGGAAAATTATGATGTCCCAGAATAACGTATGGGAGGATTCTTTCATGACTATGTCTGGATATAGCTACAAGATATGATAGGGTCCCGACAGATCCAAAAATGGATCTGAAATATCCTAACTACTAGTTCTGTCTTCAGTCACAAGCTGTGCTTCTCTGCACCTTTCAAAAGGAATATTTAAAAATAATGTATATTTATTTATTTGTGTATATATAATTTAAAATCTCAGGATGAATCTGAAAGAGAGAGAGAGAATGTGTAAAACTAGCAGTTTTTCAAGTTTACCCTGCGATCTTAAAATCAAACTGGATTCTTTCTTCTCTATATATTATCACCACTTTAGAAAATTCCTGATGACTCTACCTGCCCACATCTACACCAGTGCAACTCTATGTAAAATACTGAGCTTGCAGAGTATAAATTACCTTGCAAAGAAACAAAGAGCCCAATTTTAGTCTTAGATCTTAGTAGCTTTATCTCTACTTCTCTGCTCCCTGGGTGCTACTCTTGTGGTTTCTGCCTCAGTCAAAAGAACACAGGCAGTGAAGACTGCAGCTCTGAGAAAGTCTACCATATTTTTAATCAAATATCCTGAGATGGTAAAGGAAGGATGAGAGAATAAGTTCAGCATAAGAGTTCTGTGCTTTACATGCAATGCAATGTATGCAGTCAGCTGCAGTAAGTATACTACTGCATGAGGAAGTCAAGGCCCTATCCATTCCCCTTCCTTTCCACTTGTGTGCAGAAGGGTGGGGGGAAAAAGAAAAGTAGAAAAGCAGTCTAAAGGAAGCTGGTTGCCTCCATCCCTTCCTGAGGGGGTGCAGGTAGCTGGCCTAACAACAAGGGTGCCATCTTACTTCTCTGAACTGCCACAAACATGTCACATGCTTGCCCTAAATAAAAGTACTCATTGAAAATTATTTTAAAGGCTTTTCCTTCCAAGAGAGATCTTCGGAGCCTTGAAACATATAAGATTTTTATAATATACATTTAGGTTAACTTCTACTTACAATGCACTCTTCTGCACCACATACTGATTGATATGATAACTGCTTCTGCATGTGTTAGTCTCTGCGCTCTCTGCTTTCCTACAGGTTGTCAAAAGGGTCAAATCTCATTGAGGCTTTCCTCCTAAGTACATTAGGCCACTAGGTAGAGGCAATCTAGTGAATTCCTTGTACAGTGTGTACAAAGTACAATCAAAATCCAATAGACACTATATTTTTTGTGGGTGGCTTCCCAGGGTCCTTAATTTATGCAGTATATTACAAAAGGAAAACAAGCAAGTTTGTCACAGCATGCTATTTTCTGAGTCCTCTTTCTTATACTGCTAGTATTTCTGCCACAATCTAAAACCTATTATAATTGTAAATGCTGTCTTTGCATTCAAATTCTAATTCTTGCCAGTGGCCAAATGCACTAAGAAAGAAAACAAAAATAAGACTGCATGACTCCTTTTATATTAAAAAGAAAAAAAAACCCTGATAACAGGGAAGGCCCAGAGACTATGATATATACAGAGAAGACTAAACACATACAAGAAAATGCACTGTTTTGAGTTTTCACTCACAACTACCAATTTTGAAAGACCTATAGTAAAAATATCCATTCCCTTCTAGTCAGCATCATATTGGGAAATATTATGATGCCCCTGCTGTTGCTGCTAAAACCTGACCGTACTGGATTAAGACTATTTTAATTTAAGAAAACACACTTGCATGAAAATTGTAAGCAGTAGACATAAACCTTGTCTGCAATCATAATCATACAGACAAACTCCTGCTCCTGCGAAGAGCCAGTAAGCTTTAGTAGGGTTCCTGCATGGGCCCATGGGTCTATCTGCTTGGATCTAACAGCAGAATCAGGATTACGTTTGTACAGCCTATTCATATATCAACTGAACCCTTCAACAGGAGCTGAAGCAGTTTCACTTAGAGGAAGAGCTTGGTGTTCATTCAAAAGGGATTAATGATTTTTGTACATATTTATTTAAAGGATATCTTTATTTGTAGCAGCAGGCTGGTTTTTTTTAATACTTGACACAGTAATTCTTTGATAGTTCTCACACGATAGTAAGTGAAAACACAATAAGAGGAGTAACTATTCCTGTTTTGGCACACAGGTATACGGCACGTCAGTCATTAGAACAGTTAAGATTTAAAAACAAAAATGAAAATACCCTCAACAAACAGCAGCAGCAAATACCAAGGAGGATGTCTGGAGAGATTCCTGACCTCTCAATGCCCTCAGGAACAGCTAGTCATATTGCAATAAAAAAACAAGCAGCCCTGAAATCTCACCATGAGATCTTAAACTCAAACTAGCCTTTTTCCCTTTCCACACACTATCACCAGTATGGAAGTGTTCTGAAAGTCAGATTCTGCCCTCAATCACACAAGTAGAAGTGTTTTTAAAACTCTTGAGGCTGCAGAACTGTAAGACATGTATAGACTGGCTTGGAGCATCTCAACATCTGTGCAGAATAATCTGCACAATAACAAAGTAGGAGGATTATTCAATGAGCAGCTAGTTTGTCATATGAATTAGGATAGTAACAGGAACATTGAGAAGAATTATAGGTAAATTTTAATAATAAATCCTCAGTGCTGCATCATGGCTTCCAGCATTTGACTTCAGGGAATTCTCCCCACTGGAATGCTACGGCTGTAACTGCTCTTAGGTCAGAACTAGGCCTCCTTTATATTTACAGTACACTGAGAGGGAAGTTTCATTTTGGCTGTGGTCAGCTATTGTTTCCATAGCAATATGCATTATTTTTTTAAAAGAAAGTGTAACAATGAAGTGTAAAGGATAAATGAATGCTAAATGACAAACTCAACTCTGGAGACAGTGGGCAAGTCTACATGAGACATTTACTGTGCAGTTGCCTAATTAGCTCCATAGTAAAACATCACTGTTTACACAAGCAGTACTATTAGTAGTAAACTACTCTGCTGCAAGACAGTACTTGTTCTTTACTCAACACACGTGTACATATTGATGAGGCTGGCTAGAGCATGAGGATACTTCAGTGTGGGGGCTGCCTGCTGGCTAGTGTACCAGCCATCACCCCTGCAGCATGATGAGTGGGGTTGGAGCAGCCCAGGACTGGCAGGCTGACTCCTCCTGGGCCCTCCATGAGCTGGGGCTGCTCTGACCCAACTGAATGTGCTGTGGTCCCAGGCTCACCTGTAAACGTGATTCCTGGGAGCAATAAATTTTGGCGCAGTATGTGCCACGGTTTATTGCTTCACCTTAATAGCACATGTAGGTGCACCCAGTGGGTGGAGTTACAGCATCATAAATAACTGCTGGGGAAAACAAAGAAAAAAGCAAGCAGCTTTTCTTCCAAAGGTAAGTTATGATAACAGTTATTTGATTCATGGGTACCTGAAACTTCCAGAAGTTATTTTGTGGAGATTCACTAGAAAGAATGGGCCTCATGAAGTCCATGATAGCAATGCAAACAAAGCAGATGTAAGGCAGAACCATCCTATCTTAGTAAGAATATTATGCTCACTTTAGAGTGATGTAAATTATTACAGAAGATGTAAGATATCAGAGGAACAGGCCCAATAAGGGTAACAGAAAAGCTGGCACAGCATGGAGTCTTCAAAATGTGAAAATTCTAAGCACTGAGACACAGTCAAGTGGGTTACATTTCCTGAAAGACAAAAAAACCTCACCTTAATAATAAAAGCCACCATAAAAATTAAATCATGAAAGTAACATCTAAAGCATAGGGCTTTAGAGTACTCTTAGATCAAAGAATGTTTGCAGAGAGGGGGGTGCTTGCTATTAGAATAGGTCAAAGTAATAATGATTTGCAAAAGTATGCAAAGAATCCATTAGGGCTATTTAATACAGATCTCTTACCAAGCCTGGCTTAAAATGACACAGTAGCTGTAAAAATACCCAGAAGCAAAACAAGAGATAAAGTCACACCAGTACATGAATTGGTAAGGATACAATTCCAAGCCACCAAAGGCTGCAAATGGTGTAAGTATTCTTTTCCCACTCTCAACCTCGCCTTTAGAATTATAAGTGTTTTTTCAACCCATTTTGCTTTTATTTCCCAGCTTTTAAAACTTTAAACTCTCATACACATTTTCAAATTTAAAAACAAAATTAAATTTGAATCCTAAAGATAGCTTTCTCCCTTTTTCCACCCTGCAGGCTGCAGCCACGTAACTGTAATTTTTGGCAATTATGCAAAATTTGGATTCTTTTTCCATCTGCACAGCTACACTCATCCTGTGCTTCTCTTCTGAGCATTGGCTCCACTGTGGCTGTGTAGGCTCTGGGGCAGAAAAGAATCACCAGGGTATGCATGCAATGCTGTTTAAGTCCCCAAGACTTTAACTACGAAAAAAACCCACGAGCACGAAGCAGTTATGGCACTTACTCATAGAATAGTAAGTCCTACGTACTTAAACAGGATTTTGAATAGTAAGTCCTACGATTTTGAAGCTGCA